GCATTCTAAAAATTATTTACGACTTACTTTGAGTTGTGGATCCATCAACAAAAAATAGTATACACCCAATTGAGTTATTAGTTTACTGCTATGAAGTTACAAGCAACAGTCCTGTTGCTTGTTAAGAGTTTCAGAATGGGAATTTTTAATACGTTTGTGAGTGCCTAGGGAAATATTGTTCCTTTATTGTTTGCTTTAATTCACACACATACACTAGAGTTTGTAAAGCCTTTTTTATAATAGCTATATAAAAACTATATGGCTTCAAATTTTTCTTGTTGACATGAATATGTTTCCTTATAAAAACCATGAGATTTACACCAAGTTCTGCAAAGGTTTTGCAGATAACAAATTTTGCACATAACAAATAATAAGACTCCTTTTTTTATTTATGGCTGTAGATCAAGCCTATGAATAAAACATCAAAATCATAAAAAAAGATGGCGGCTCAATTGGCATTTTAGATAGCGCAAGTGCATTGATAAAGTCTATGGTGTGTGAGCCACTACTTGCTAAGCTTCTAAAGGGATTTGGAGAAAAAGAAAAAGATAATGAAAAGAATCATTACAAAGATAGACCTGTCTTTGAAAAGAATTGTAATTTCATGTATCAGATTTTATTGAAGTTATAAAAGGTTTGGAAATCCGTTTTTAGTAGAAGAAGATATTCTCATACATTTATCAACAAAAGTATTACTTGACGCAAAAGGTAGGGCATTCGTCAAAAAAAGTTATCCAAAGGGATGTTGAGTCATCCAGATGGTATATTCAGAATTGTTTAACAACTGGAAGGAATTTAGTTTATAAAACAATCCCTAAGATTTAGATGATTATTTTGACATAAAAATCCAACAGCAATATCTAAATTCAGTAAACTCTGAAAAAAACTAATAAATCGGAGTACCTTAAATGCTTTGACAAGTATTCGGCACCTACTTTAATTTCTCCTGAAGGTATCTCTGCAGAGGTATTAGATTGAGGAGGAATTATTCATATATTTCATGCAGTAAATTCAAAGACTTTCAAGGATCACTCTGATATTGATTTTGAACAAAACATAAAGAAATAAAAAAGATTAACATAGTGTTTGACCATTATTTTTAATGTAGTTTAAAAACCCAGACCAGGGAGAGTCGTGGGGATGGTATGAGAATATGTGTTTCTGAGTTAACTTGCATTTGGAAAAACTGGTCATGGTTTATACTATTGAATGTAAACAAAATAAGTTGTCTAAAATGCTTTCAATAAACTTTGTACCGACATTTGAATTACTGTTAGTTAATAACAACGTTAGTTGAAACTGTTCTGTCCTATTTATCACCTTGTATCCATGAGGAAGCTGAAACTAGAACTTTGCTACATGTTGAAAACGCAAATTCATATAATTTGTTGACAGTGGGCACCAAGTTGTCTGTATATAAACAGTTAACACAGATATTGTTGCGATCTTAATTTCTATTTTTAAATAATTAACTGGATAGTACTTGGAGTTTTAGCTTCCAATTCACTATTACGCACAAAAGATATGTGAAAAAGCAGAGGCTGTTTCATTGTGGTTTACATTCACTGGCTGTGATACCATATCCTAGAGGACTTTTTTTAGAAATTGACGGTTGTGCTCCTCCACTTCGAAACCAATGTTGTAGGCCCTGGCAAATGCAAACAGAGTTATGCGAGTGTTCTGGTCAGTGTTTAGAATAAAAATGAACAAATCTCATTATTATTAAGTTTTTACCAAATTTTGAAATAAATTAATTTTATTTCTTTGAAATATTTATATATTAGAAATATAAGTACAACTTTTTTTATGCTTTTAACCATATTTTAATTAGTAATGTGGTATAGCTGTTTATTTTAAATTATTGCTTCTTTATATTTTGCTCTTAATGCAACCTTATATCATTGATTTAGAAGATTATGTATTTTTTGCAGTCAACTCAGTTGGGGGTCCTCACAGGACCTAAAAAGTATTTTTAGAATGGGATCTTTTTTTTTTTTTTGAATTCTTTTAACTCATAGACAACTTTTTGAAATATTCAAGCTGGTATCATGATTTGAACTATTTTTCTAAATTTTTACTCTTATTCCCCCAACTATTACGCCAAAAGCGGACATAAGTGGTAAGCATACTAAATGTGAAGGTTTCAAATGAAATCAAAGATAAAGTATTTTTATAATTTTACTTTATAATTTTTGTTCCCATTAGTTGATAGTCACTAATAGATCTTTAAGCACCAGGAAGTACTTTGTACTTATTCTCAAAGTAGAAAAAAAAAATAATCAGTTTGAGAAAAGCATGGAAGAGATACATTGAGTCCATTTGCAGGAAAAATGTAAAAGAAAATATGACCATAACAACCAGCTGGATGATGTAATCATAGATGAGTTTTTTCCGGAAATTCCAGGAATTCCGAAAATTCACTTAAAACACCTTTAATTTTTCCAGAAATTTCCGGATGTTTTTTGATATTCATTTGAAATAAAGTTTGTATATTTTTACATAACATTTTACATACGACAACTTTTGCATTTAAACAAATATGTTTTCTAAAATTAAAATTTTCACAAGATCAATTTTCGTAACAATTTTTTTCTTTTTTTTTTTTTTGCTTATTAATTCATTCAAACTTTTTCGAATATTAGAAATCCCGTTTTATAAAAAGTTAAATAATCTAAATTCCATTTGTCAGTTAAATGCAATCAATTTTTAATAAAATAATTTTCCAGGATTTTCCGGGATTATCATAGAAAAAAACTTTCCGGGATTTTCAAAAAGTCAAATACTCATCTATGTGTAATTAGTTTTGATCTGCAAAATATCAATGTCCAAAAGCTGAAATAGCTTTTTTTAAAACTAAATGTTTACAAACTGATAGCACACATTAAGTTTAACAGAATAGTTATTAAATGTGTTGTGTACTCTCAAGTTCCTAATAAACGTCCCCCTCCCCCCCCTCCCTGTTTATTAATTTTTGGATATTTTCCCCACCAACCCTAAGCTTATTAAGACCCCCCCCCATCCCCCCGTTTATTAGTTTTAACTTGTTATCAACAAAAAAATTATATATCTTAAAAGTAAAAAAGAAAATCCATTGAAAATTGGCCCTACAAATTTGAAAATAATTTTCAGTCACAGATAAAAAAAAAAACTTTCAGTGTAAACAAGTTTTTTTTTTAAACTTTCAGTGTAAACAGGTTTTTTTTTTTAAACAGTGTAACACTGTTACACTGTTTACAAGTCGACCTATTAAATCTCAATTTGCTAAAAATGAACTTTTACAAAGTATAAAACTTATATCAGTATATTAAATCCTATTAAAATTATGATAAAACAGCCTAACCCTACCCTAACAGCTTTTGACCGCAAGTCAAATGCTGTTAATTGACTTGAACATGCATAAATAGTTTTATGTATGATTTGTAAAAAATTTTGGTTTGAATTTATAAATTAAAATTTTTTACAAAAGTATTTATATTGTAACATGGCGTCAGATTGGAAATTTTCAAGAACTGACCGAGATAAATACAGTTTGGAAGAAAAAAATGCTTTAGGTAAACTTTGTAAAAGTTACAAAAAAGAGTACGATTTATCGATTGCTGAAAACTTTCAAATAGTCAACTTTAGTGAAAAAAGAAAGAAACACAGTAAAACATTGCCACGCGAAGGATACCTTGCAAGAGCTGTAAGAGAGTTTTATTCAGACCTTAAAGATATTAAGCATGATAATCCAACCTTAACAAAAGCCCTAAAACTTGGGAAAAGATGTCTAAACCAAGTTGAGGCAGATAAAGGTGGTGTAACTGTAGATATCCCTGGAACCCTTAAAGCGCGTTTACCCAGGAAAATGTTTACAGCACAATGCAAACTTTTTTATGAACAGTGGCTTACCCAACAACCAGAAGAGGTGCCAGAGAAAAAGAAAATCGTTTTCTCAAACCATTAGAAGGAGGGGAGGGGGAGGAGTAGGCTTTTCTATATTCATAGTTTTAAACATTAGAAACGTTTAAAACTATAAGAAGTTTATTTCAAAAACCACGTTTTTATCTGTATACATAAAAAGTACAAACAAGAGATATTTACAAGTAAACAAAATTAAACAAATTATGAAAAAAGGTTGGAATCTGGAATCATACTCAATTTTCCACTAGGAAACAGCACTGTTAATGTGCTAAAATTGCCTTTTACTTTATTTATTTTTTTAAATTTGGTCTATATCCCAAATATTTCTTATAGAATCTTTTACTTCCAACAAAAAAAACTATTTATTGTTACTGAAAGTTTCAAATGAAACCGATTAGAAATTAGATTCTATTAGAAAATATTTAACCTAATTCCTTTGAAACTTATTGTTATCATATAAGATGATAAACAACCATTATAGCTGAAAATAGAAAACTATAAGAATTCTCTTATAGTTTTCATATGAAGAGTAGACAAAAATTGTAAGTCAATTTTCTCAAAACCAAAAAAACAGCACTTAAAACCCTATAATTCTCCTGCTACAAATTGTAGGTACCACACACAGGGCAGAACATATGATTTTTAATAATATTATTTTTTCCAAATGTATTGAAAATGATATAAAAATGTATGCATGTAAACCTATTTTATATAAATTGGATTTATATAATTATTGGATTTCAAGATATTTATCTTTGTTACTCAAGGCATTTTTTTCTACATACGTAATCAAAAATTTGCAAATTTTACATTATTACATAATGTATCTGGCCAATAAAAACTAATATTGGAGATAACATTTCATTTATTAAATTTCATATGTTAAATTTTTATTGGGAGTTGTTTTATTTGTAGTTAAAGTACAGACTGCTTATACTTCAACTACTTCAACTCCCAATTTGAAATTTAACATATGAAATGTTATCTCCAATATTAGTTTTTTTATAATATAAAGTGTATTTACATAAATGCTGATAAACTCATTCATACCTGGGATGAATGAGTTTAGTATTTATATATTGTATTCTAAACATTTACAGGAATCTGGCTCCCAATGATGACTCGTTTTTCTACCTGGGAATCAAGTTTTTGGAATAAAAGTTACGAGGCTTATGAGAATGGTTTTGGTCTAATAAACCAACAATGGGTTGGTTTAAAAAATATTAATCAAATAACAAGTGCATTTTTTACAGATATGAGAGTTGAATATTTTATATTTGAAGATATATCATTTAGCTCAATGTATTACAATGTTACCGTTGGCTCAAGTATAGATGACTATTTGTTTAGCTATGAAACATATGATTCAAAAGGATGTAAGTTTTTTTTTCTTTATTTACATAAAAAAGTTATATTTAGTATTTCATCAGGTAAGGTTTTTAGAAAGTTACTAAAAAGAAGTATTATGGTCATCCCCAATATTATCAGTAAAGTTTTCATATTTGTGAACATTTTATTTCTTTCAAAGGTTGTTCCAACCTGCTTGTTCCTATAAAGAATCCAAAATAAACTCGAAAGCAAGTGGTTACTAATATGACACAAAAGCAGTTGCTAGATGCTCAAAAAAAAATTCTTTAACATAAATAGTAAATAGTAATTAAATAAAAATTTATTAAAAATAGCTGGTTTGATTTTTAACAATTGAAGCAAAACATAACCAGCAATCTCTCTGGAAATTTCTTACTTTTTTTTTTTTAATATAATCTTTCTAGTGGTAATATCAAATTAAAATTTGTTAAAGTTTTTAGGAAAAAATTTTAAAAAAAATGCAAAATTGAAGACCTCGGTAATGCTATTGTAAAACTAGAGGCAGGTTTATAAGTCATTTAAGTTAATTTTTAAGATTTCGTATCTTGAAAGGAAGTTTTATCTTAGAATAAAGTAGTTTGACTTTTTCGTACGTATTTTTGTTCAAAGTTTTTAACTGCATCACTTTAACCTTATATAAAAAGGATTGATATCAATAATGCTTGCTCAAAAAAATTATAGTTTTTAGCTATTTGTTATTGAGAAAACTGTAATATTTAGAGTAAAGTTATGTTCCGTTCCATTACATTTAATTTATTTTTGTAAAATTTCAAAAATATTTTTGAAAAAAAAAAATTTTTTTCTTGCAAAATATTAAAAAGCGTAATTTTTTTCTTAATCTACAAATAGAGTAAAAAATCTAGTGCTCACCATGCACTCTTGTCGTTACTACTCTAAAAAGATGTCTTTTTTTTAAGTTAGGATTGTTAAGTTTTTGCCTGTTATAATGCGAACATTCTAGCAATTAGTTTTTAGTTTGCATGTTTTTTTGTAACTAATTGGAAATGGTTAAGCGCATTGCAAACACAGGATATTTTACCCTAGTATTTTACCATAGAAATTTGTCAAAAGTCATGGAAATTCATTTATAAATTTGAGTGACCTTCCTGGATAAAGCAATGCGCTATTACATTCAAAATAGTTTTTAAACTATTTTGAATGAAATAGTTCTATGAATTTAAACTATATTGAATAAAAAACTATTGATTGAATCCGTGTTTACATTTTTGCAGTCGTGTTTACATTTCAGCAGTCGTGTTTACATTTTAGTGGTCATGTTTACATTTTTGCGGTCATTTTTAATTTTGCACATTTACTCTTCCAAAAAAAAATTATTGTATTATATTAAAAGAAATCATTCTATTTAGTATTTTAAGAACTCATTGAGCTCATTCATTGAATTCATTTTAATAAATTGTTGAAAAAAGTTTATCTATCAACTATGTGACGCGGTATACACGGAACAGATGTCTTTCGAGGACAATTACATGCGTTTTGTTATCAAGAAAAATTCTAAAAAAATTCGAAGATTGTGTTGTGCTTGTATTAAAGTCATCAATGCTAATATTTTTTTTAATGTTATTGGTTCATTAGGCAACAAAAACGCAAGTCTCGAGAGCGAAAGACAACTCCCAGAGAAGACGCAGCCATTGCGTATCGCTAATCTGAATTTTTTTTGCTGACGCACCAAAAATTAAAGAACAAATTGCTCAAAATTTAAAACTCAATCTGTCTGTCAGCACTGTCGAAATTTGCTTACTTAATTGCTTTGGATCCGATGGAGAACAATATATTTGTCATCCCCAACAATGACCCGCACAATTAGCAGACCTCAATCCGATAAAAATATTTGTGGGAGGAAGTTGCCAGAAATATAAATGGTTGACCGCAGCAAATTTAGACTGACTTGAGATTGAAATAAAGGCTGATTGGTACGCAGTTACAACTAAACAATAGGCAGGTCCGTTTTTAGGGGTCAGAAAAACTATAACTTTGCCACTTTATTTTCCCATTCTACGTTGATCCCACAAAATGTTGAAGTTTTTTTAATAAGTTCATCAATATCTACTGTTACTGTCACTTTATTTTGTTTTATGTTAGTTGATTGTTTTTCAATTTCATCATAATTATTATATGGAAATTCTTCATTATCAAAATTTTCTAACAAAAATAAATCTTGATTTTCATTAAAACAATTACTATTTGATGAAAATTATTTTAACTTTGAGATTTTTGTGGCAGATTCTTCCTTTTGCTCTAACTCCTTGGCTTTCCTTTTGCGAAACTCTCTGTTAGAATAAACTTTTTGATATTTTTTGTCTATTTTGTCAATTATCATTGTTCTTGCAGTTTTTTGATCTTCATAAAATAAAATATCGCATTTTTTTGCATCTTTTGATCGAATTCTATCTTTTTCAATTACTTCATAAAGTTTTGGGTGCCCTATGTCAAACAATTCTTTTTCTAATGCCAAAAAATTATTTTCATGCAGCTTTTGTGTTTCCGTTTTTTTTGAACGATATGATACTAGTTTCTTGTGATGATATATATATTAATTTGGTAACATTTTCCCTGAAATAATTTATTAAATTTTCATTTGTCATTTGTCAGCTTAAATTTTTATATCAATAATTATCAATAATTACGTAATAAACTATAAACATTTAAATCAATAGTTACCTAATACTTCTACAACTAATGTGTGGTATACCACCCATAAGCCATGGTTTTCTAAGAGCAGAAACAACACATTTGGGCTGACATATTTTATCATTACATAGTAGCTCGTGATTTATATTTAGAGGGCAGGAAATAATTTCGGTGTGTTTTTTTTTTTTTTTTTTTTGAAATTCAGTAATCTGCAGCAATGATAAAAATATCTTAAAACGTCGCCTTTTTTTAGGCAAAGTTCTGCAACCAATTTCGTGGGTTTGTCCTAATAAAAATATTTCAGTATTTGAACGTGTTGATATTGCCATTTTAAATTTAAAAAGTTACAAACGCAGCGCAGTTTTATAAAATTTATTATTGCGCGCTGTGATTATAACTCCGCATAGGTCCGGCGGTGCAAACTAAAAAAAAAAAATTCTCTAAAAAATGTAATAAATATGAAATATTGTAACTCCTAGGGAGGACAGAGAATTTAAAATTTTTCAAAAATTTTTTCAGGAAAAGTCTTTTATGGCAACATAGAATGGGAAAATAAATTGGCAAAGTTGTAGTTTTTTCAACCCCTAAAAACGGACCTGCCTACTGAACAATGCTAAAAATTGATCTCATCAATGGGCTGTTGTTCATTGAATCAAAAGGATATCCCACTAAATATTAATTAACCTCAAATAATATTTATCTTAACTATTTATACGAAGAACTTTCATGATTTTTGTAGCAAAAGGATGAAATGATAATTTTGTACAAAGTATCATATTTTAATTATCCAAAACAATTTAAATAGCGCACCATGTACAGTACACCATGTAGTACGAGGTGCGCTGTTTAATTTTAGATAAATTATTCTGCACCTATAAATAATTAATTGTACTTTTTTTTAATCTAAATTACTTTCTTTTCTTACTCAGTAACTTTACCTATTAAAAATAGTATTTTATTAGGCTAAAAAAGTTTAGATCTCAAAAATTCTCTAGAAAATATATCATTACATTGAACATCTTTGCTATTTATTTTATTGCCACTGTTTATAGTTCTATATAAAAAAAAGCTCTACCATTACTAGCTCTATAAAAAGTTGAGCAAAATAAACCATATTTTTGGGTTTTGTATAAAAGTTAATGATTTGATTGGAGGTCGTCCATAAATTTTCAACAGTTTTTACCCTTGCCCTCTTCCCCTTTTCCTCGACACAACATCGTAACTCTTTTGTAACAAGACTCGCACGAGTTGTCACAAAACCACTTACCTTTTTTGTTTAAATCAATCGTTTGATTAATTTAAATAAGTTAATTATCTTTATTTATAAAAAAAAAAATGCTCAAACCAATCAAACTTATATCTAGGTTTGATTGAAGTATTCTTTAATAGTTATATAAATGTTTAGCTCTTGAACCGGATTTATTTAATGCTAATGGCACGACGTTTAAAAGTTGTAGTAATTGGTGGACGACTAGCTGCAATGAAGCAACTCCTACTTCAACTAATTACATCTCTTATGGCTCCAGTGAAAATTTGTTTTCTATACAATTTTTTTTAAGGACAAATGGACGCAAGGTATGCTAATGGATGCTCAATATATTTGAGATATATAAATTTATAAGTGATTAGGTTATTTTCAAGTAATTTTTCTTTTTATTTAGAAGTAAGCTCCAACATTTTTTATCAACATTTTAACGAATTAAAATAATAAACTCTGATGTTGAAGAAATAAAATGCTTCGCACTTGTATGTGTTGTGTAATGAGAGTTTTTACTCAACACTAATTCATTTTTTTATATATATATATTATTATTTAACATTTGTAATACACATTCTATTGTAAATAGAAATTTATTTGTAGTTAAAAGAAAATAATTTATGCATTTTTATAATATATTTCAAATCATTTCGGACTTTTTTTTCACACTTACTCGATTATTTTCATCAATATAACAATCTGTGTGCGCTTTATAAAAAAATGTGAAAAACATCGTGTATTTAAATTGGTAGTCATATCGCAAGTAGTGGCCATCCATAAAGGACGTCATACAAATAGGGGGGAGGGGGTCGAGATAAAAAGGACAAAAAAGGACAAGGGAAGGGGGGAGGTTGTCAGAAAAGGACGTCACTTAATAGATTTTTTATTTTAGTTTAATTAACATGAAAAACTATGTAAATATGTGTTTTTAAGAAGATAATGTATGAGAATATATTTAATTTTATTTTTCAAAGGTGCAGCAGCAGGTTCAAACATTATTGCGAGATGAAATAATTTTTTTGGGGTTTAAAATAGGAGGGGGGGGTCAGGATTTTATGACGTCTTTTTCAAGGGATGTATAAGGAAAAAGGACAACCGGTGACAAAGGTCAAAAATTGGCTCAAAAAATGGTGACGTCCTTTATGAATGGCCCGTAGCCAATATAACGGTTAAAAAAAATTGTGAAAATATTTCAAGTCAATTAGAACGAGACGTCATAATTAATACTAAACGGGTTGTGATCAATAGACGATTTCAGAGTTAGCATAGCCATCTTGGAAAAATACTCTTGGGAGTGCAAGTTGAACTTTGAACTTTCCGTTTTTATGCGAAATGTCATATAGAATAATGAAAATTTTCTTAATTTAAGTTCCAAATAACTCATAGATTATTAGTTAATTCTTGGTTTAAATTTATTAGGAAAAAAAGTTAAACTTGTTGCAAGAGCTTTTTTCTGCTATGAAACTTATTATTGAAATTATATCTTCACAATTTAAAACCAAAAGAAAAAGTGATATTATACCTTTTTTATGGTTTTAAATTTTATATTATAAAAAAATTTATGCATTCTTTTTATTTAATTATACATATAGTTTATATTGAACAGTAAAGTTACACTTTTAGTATTTTAAATGGTACAAACTATACCGTATGAAAACTTTAAATCAACAATTCATTGTAGTTCACACATTTTATTACAGTCAATTTAGTACATACAATTTATTACAGTGAATACATTTTATTACATCAGACATTTTATTACAGTCAATTTAGTACATAAAATTATTACAGTGAAACTATTTTTTTCCAGTGAATTGTTTGATATCATTTTTAAAAAACTATTTATTAGTTTGAAATTAGTTAATATAATTTGATTGTTTTTTTTAAGAATAAAAGCATTTAGTAAGTAAAATCTAGTATGTAATATAATGCCAAGTCATAGCAGATGTGAAGTTGGTGTTTATAATAATGAAAAAGGATACCCTGACAAAATAATAAAACATTGCAATGTTAAAGGAAATTTAATAATGTACAAGTTACCAACATGTAAAGAAAGAAGAAATTCATGGATACATCATGTTAGCACTGGTATAAAAGATTTTTGTTGTCCTTAAAAACTTTTTTGTTTGTTCAAATCACTTGAAGGAAAACCTACAAAAGATAATCCTGATCCAACTTTGTTTTTAAAAGTTTCTACTACACCATAACAACACCAAAAAAGAGAAAAGTACCCTTTCCACGAAACTCAATTATTAGTTCTAAAAATTTTGATGTTGCAGATGAAAGAAGAATAGCAACATCTAGTGAATTTCTATTGTCTGTCTCGATGATGTTCTGCCAGTTGACACATGAAAATGATGTGCAGTTTTTTACAGGTTTGGTGAGTACTAAAGTTTTCAAAAGTGTCTTTAATTATCTCAAACATAAAGCTTCTGTTATGATGTATTGGGATAGCGACAAAAAAGTTTGAGCAAAGGTCAGGTTCTGTTGAATTAAGCAAAGGTCAGGTTCTGTTGAATTAACAGAGGCAGTATTATTGTCTCCTAATTATGATGTTGACTTGGTATTATATTACATATTAGATATTACTTACTTAATGCTTTTATTTTTTTTAAAAAACAAAAGTATAATAACTAGTTTCAAACTATTAAATAATTTTTTAAAATAAGATCAAACAATTCACTGGAAAAAAATAGTTTCACTGTAATAATTTTATGTACTAAATTCACTGTAAAAAATGTATAATGTAATAAAATGTATTCACTGTAATAAATTGTATGTACTAAGTTAACTGTAATAAAATGTATGAACTAAAGTGAATTGTTGATTTAAAGTTTTCATACGGTATAGTCTGTACCATTTAAAATACTAAAAATGTAACTTTACTGTTCAATATAAACTATATGTATATTTAAATTAAAAAAATGCATAAACTTTTTTTATAATATAAAATTTAAAACCATAAAAAAGGTATAATATCACTTTTCTTTTGGTTTTAAATTGTGAAGATATAATTTCAATAATAAGTTCCATAGCAGCAAAAGCTCTTGTAACAAGTTTAACTTTTTTTCCTAATAAATTTAAACCAAGAATTAACTAATAATCTATGAGTTATTTGGAACTTAAATTAAGAAAATTTTCATTATTCTATATGACATTTCGCATAAAAACGGAAAGTTCAACTTGCACCCACAAGAATATTTTTCCAAGATGGTCACCCTAACTCCGAAATCGTCTATGACGAAGTTTGTCGCTAGTCAGCCGCTATTTTGGTTAACCGAGAACAATTTCATGTTCGCCAAGACTTGGATCTTTATTAACTTTTTTTTTTTTGCTGCAAAAAGAAAAATTATAACCCACTTAAAAAAAAAATTATTTATTAAACATTAAATGTTTTTAATTGAAACTAACTACTGCTTTTTTCAAATACAGAAGTGATAACACTATGAAAGGCTTTCATGCTTCCTTTAGAAACAAGTAGTGAACAGCTTCCCCTAATTGTTCACTAAAGATTCAAGTGCCCATATCTTCACAGAAAGGACTTATTTGTTATTTATTTGGAAGATATGGAATGTTGTTCCTTAAAGATATGGGTTGTTGCTTCATTAATTGAAGTTCTGGACGAGAAAGATGGTTAACAACTAGGTCATTTTTACTACCAAATAAAAAAACTTCATTAATACAGTTAAAATATTTTAATTTCTTTTTTTTAAAATCTCATAATCTAATTTATACATTTTACCGCTTAATCTTAGTGACCCAAGGGTTCGTAGTTCAGTGCAATTGTTTTTTAAACAAGATCGGCGCAAGGTTGGCCCCCCTTAATATAAAAAAAGTGTATCCTTTAAAAACATTAAAAAAAACATTTTGAGAGTTTATATTTTTATATGCTTCATAGAAATAGAATAAGTGTTACTAACATAACTGTTTCTTAAAAATCGTTAATTTAGAAAAACTACTCTCCGCTGCCCACTGATACGGGGAAGCAAAAGCAATATTTTCAATACTAATGATGTCAATAAAACAGTTTTAAAAATGTTGACCATGACAATGTTGTTTTGGGGAAGCTATCATTCTATCTATGGTTTGGCAACATTGGATCTAAGATTATAATTTCACTTAACAACTCATTCCTGTTGACGTCACTCTTGCCATCAACTCGCGACGTTACAATTATCTTGTTCTATCTCCACTTTCTGAAAAAATTGAGTTAACGATAGTGTTGTGTTCCTTAAAATAATGTCTTTCTACTGAATTGAAATCTAAGTTATAAGTAAAAAAGTTGCGGAAAAAACATAAGTTATAAAAAAAAATTTATACGCCGTTTCCTAAAGTTTTTATTTTTTAAATTTTTTTATCTCAAAGCTAAAAAATGTGGAGATAGAACAAGATAATTTTAACGTCGCGAACTGTCAAAACGAAGTGTACGTTTTTGCACTTTTCTTTAACAGCATCTGTTTCACTTTCTTTTTTTTCTTTTTTCTATATTATATAGGAATTCGAAATGTTTCCTGCGATTTTCCATCTGTTCAAATCTTTCAAAATTGCCGACTTCACAGATTTATCTTCATAGTTAAATTGCTTTTTGATCTTTCTTGTCTTGACCACAAATTCATTGGAGCACTTTAGACCGATGCAGAGGCGTCCCTATAGGGAGAGTAGGAGGGTGACTAGCTCCCCTACGAAGTTTATTAATTGGCATATTGGACACTGGACTTGGTAAAATTAGATCTATAGTCGGCAGTCGGCAAATATTTCTTTAAGATCTTTTCGGGACGGCCCTGGATTGATGTCTAGTTTTTCTACCAGTTCCATGGCATTTATAATAACACTATACAGCCCATTTTCCGATATCATGTTCTCCAAAAATGTCTTGGCACTTTCAATTAGTATATATTTATCCTAAGTGTTTTGATTACTAAATTAAACTTGAACGAGACATCACACCGTGAGACCAAAGAGCAGAAGAATTTGAAATCTGTAATTTTTTTGGCAATTTCCATATCGGTAAATTTTACAAAAGCGTCAATCTGAAATTCTTTTGATTAGACAGCGTCATAAACCTCATCAATGTATCGCAAAGAATTAAGGGCGTCCTGCTCTCCCAACGGGTTTTACATGGAGGATTAATTGTCAAATAGTTTACATAATTTGTCAATGTACTTCATTTAAGGGTCGATCCAGAAAAAAAGTAATAAATCTCCTGATTATTGCTGATAAAGTTATCAGCTAGAGTGCAGGAAAATGCCGCATCATTGACAACATATATATATATATATATATATATATATATATATATATATATATATATATATATATATATATATATATATATATATATATATATATATATATATATATATATATATATATATATATATATATATATATATATATATATATATATATATATATATATATATATATATATATATATATATATATATATATATATATATAATTTAAGTTCACGTGATTGTTTTGAAATGTAAGCAATGTTTTGCGCATTAAACTAGAAAAATTTGTTTCTAAACTAGCCAAGTTTGAAAACATATTTCATAATTTTGAAAACATATTTCATCCGACACATCAATTATTTTTTCACTGTGCCGAAAAAAAAGAATAT